CCCCCCCCCGAAGCACTGAAAATTGGAGATTTATTTTCAGAATAAGATCTCCTGCAACGAGATGCTGAGTGGGCTTATCTCCCACCCTTTTGTCAGAATGGCATGTTATAAGGGCTCCATGCCTGCTTTCCAGTGTGCCAGCAGACCTCAAAGCCTGACCCGCTCCTCTTCTATCACTCCACCAAGGGTCCCTCAAAAATAACTTTGCCTGGAGCTGTAGCACCCTGGGACCCAGCACCAATCTCCTAGACCACCCAGAAAACTTCCTGGCTATTTCCATTAGTACACCTCTCTCCACATAGAAGCGATGCTCGCATGTGAGTGCCTTGGCAAGAGTGCTGGTGAAGAGTAATCACCCTGTACTCAGATTGGTACTGCAAAGTAGAAGTAAAATGTATAGAAAAAACAATGTTGTTTTACAACGAACCTCCCAGGGACTCTCAAAGCACGTCAACAAAACTGTAGTCAGGAGAAAAAGTTGTTTTACAGACTCGAGAGATGTTCACAGCCCTGACAGCTGAGCTGTCCCTTACTGGAATGGCTCTTCTGTGTATGTGCACGAGCACAGATTCAGACACCTCCAAGATAAACACCACTTCCACCAGCAGAACCTTGCTAACTTCCAGCCACCAATCACACTGGTGCATGACATCTCCACGTACTGGCCTTCCTCTGCGCTGCTGCACCAGCGTGGCCCTACCAGCACAAGGTGACCCAGTCAGATACCAGGCTGAGTTTTAAAGCAGCATGGGTAGTTTTGTGAGTGTCAGTGATGTCTGTAGATTCAGAATACATAGTGAGAATTAAGCTGTTGCCTTCATGACAAGTATGACTCATGACAAGCATCAAACAGCCTCACCGCGACTCTGCAGTGGCTTTCTTGACATTTCCTGATACTCCTCTCAGAGCGCGGGCAGTGGCTGAGCCCAGGGTGGTGACAGACCACTTTTAACCTCACTGCCTGCTGCATGTCTGCTAGGGCAATACAGAACCCTCTGGTACAGTCGGGGGGGGCCTTTCTTTTCTTCCTCATTTACAGCATGGCTTTGAAAACCATATTCCAAAGCATACATTACCAAAACAAAGAAGTGAGTCTTGGCCCAGGATTAAAAAAAAAAAAAAAAACCAAACATGATCTCTTGCAAAGAAACTTAGAGGAACACTTCTATTTGCTGTTCAGTGCTTGAACAGCTAAGTGAATCTCCCAGGGAGCTTGCTTTTTTCCTGAAGCATGACCCATTGGCCACGGGTGCATGACAGAACTACTTGAATTACAAAACATGCGGCTAGTGGGGATAGGATGGAAGCCCCTTGCAGCCTCCAAAGGAAGAACAACTCACCTGCCATTCATCTTCATCGCTGTAGAGGGTGACAGGAATCTCCTGGGCATTGTAGAAATGCTTTGCTCTCTCAGTAGTGACCACCTTCACTTCAAGCTAACCAGAAAAGACAGACCAATAGTTAGACTTGAGGACAACCCTGCAAAGCTAGGTAGAGGAGGAGGGCTCAAGCAACAAAGATTTTAAAAGCTGTGTGGATTCTCAGAGGACTTCTCCCTACCGTGGTCATGTGCATAACTGCACCTCTTCACAGCTGAAAGACCAGCCCACGGCAGGCATTCACAGGAGCCAAAGGCTCATTTCACTGCCACCCTAAAATGGGCAGGGGATTAGTCACCACCTGCCTAACACGTTCACATAGCCAGTTCACAGCAGGGACAGCAGAGAGGACGAAGCAGGTCAGAATGAGATGTGGTTCTGTGCAGAACTTCAAAGAGACAGTAAGAAGCAGCAAACCAAAGCTCTGTGAAAGACGCCTGCCAAAGGG